GGGCACGCACATACAGTGCGATTGAAACTTCGTGGCCCATGCGCAGAAGTCGGTATTTTGTGGAAGAGCCAGTATTTTGTGGAAGAGCCACACTGAAGGGGCCAAAGAGCCGCATGTGGCTGGCGAGCCGCGGTTTGCTGAGCCTCAGTTTGCCGACCACTGGTCTATCCTATGTGGTATTTGTTGAGCTTCCTATACTTGTAGATTAGAGTTTTTCATCACAATTGGGAAGATTTTAGCCACTATTTCTTCAACTATGCTTTCTGTCCGTTTCTCTATATACTAAAGCCCAATTTGTCTAATATTAATACAACTAGAGGCCCGAAGCACAAAATTCGTGCAAGAGTAGGCCTTCACAGCCCCGGCTGCCTTGGCCCTCACAGCCCCGGCTTAGTCCAGAAGGTCATCCAGAAGGTTGACTGGACGATCATTTCACTGTTCAGCCATTTGGTTGATTTGCATATTATGCTTTTATTATTATAGATTGCTTTAATTTTAATGTAATTTATGACTTTAAAATTTTTTTCAACCTGTTTGTGCTTTTCATTTAAAATGCATTTCTTATAAACAGCATATAGTTGAATTTTGCTTATTGAGACATTTTACAACGTTTCTTATAGTGGCATGTTTAGTCCATTATTTTTAATGTGGTTGTTGCTATAGTTAGGTTTAATTTACAGTTAACCCCCTAGTTTGTAGCATGTCAATTTGTAACTTGTTTCTCTAGGTGAGCACCTAAGATAATTGTTTCCTTTCCCAAGTTTCCAAGTCACACCTAGGTACTATGATGATCTTGCATACTTATCTTAACCTCTTTAATATATTGTCTGTGTCCATCTAAGATTTTCTTTCTGGTCCTTTTGTTCAAGTGCCTACAGTATGAGGGGATGTTATCTGTGATGTCCTCCGTACAACAAATGCCTATAGTAAGCTCAATAAAGTCCATCCGAAGTGGGCTTCTTATGCATTGCTTATTTTGTGTTTGGCAGGTATTGCCACATCTGGGGAAGGACAAGCAGAAGGAGCTGGAGACACAGAAAGACTTGTTGAGATGGAACAAGTTCTCTCTTCACTTAGTGAGATGAAAGAAACAGTAGGTGGCATGGCTCTGTGGAGACAGCAAATCTGTGCAATTGCAAGGGTCCGCTTATTAAAGCTAAAGCATGAAAGAAAATCTCTTTTATCACTGTGAGTATCAGAGTGCCAAAGCTTTTGGTCAGTCGATGCATTAAAAAATACTAAGGCCTAAAAACAAGAAAAAACAAACAAAAATAAAAATAAATGTCTGCATCTGCAAAACTGGATAAAGTATAATCCTCAATCTAGTTCAAGGGTCTTGTTTTTAGCTACTAGCAGACTATCAAGTGGAATTTATAAGGTCTCACAGTCAATTGTAGGGGAAAAGTTCAATTAATGTAAGTTTTCCTGTAATATTTGCTCTCCTTTATTTATTTTGGGTTGGGTTTTTTTTTTTTTTGGTGTGTGTTTTTGTTCATCCTCCCCTAAGAATATCTTTCCATTGATTTTAGAGAGAGTGGAAGGGAGGAGGAGAGACACAGAGAGGGGGAGAAACATCAATGTGAGAGAGACACATCAATTGGTTGCCTTCGCACTCACCCCAACCAGAGATCAAGCTTGCAACCGAGGTACATGCATGCCCTTGGCCAGAATGGAACCCTGAGCCCTTCAGTCTGCAGGCTGACGCTCTTTCAGCTGAGTCAAAGCGTCTAGGCCTATTTGCTCTCCTTTAGATTTTCTATGGCAGGTGACAGAAACATTGGGATGTAGACCTTATTTCCAGTGTCCATATGCCAATGTCTCATTTTAGTTGTTATCTAGTCATGCTACTGACATAGCCCTAGCAGTCCTGACTCTCCCATTATGTCCTACTTGCTCTAACCTAGATGGCCTAACTTCCTTCCAGCCCTCTTAAGTGATGGTAGCTCACTCTTCATACATACTGCGTGCATAATGTGCACCTTCCCTGCTCCTAAGAATCATGTCACCTCTAAGTAGCACCCTGGTGTCCAAGGGTATCAATCAGTGCCTTGTCTATGAATACGTGGATTAAGCATCAAAGAAATAGGATCTCAATAAGTACTTGCTAAATAAATAAGTAATGAGAATTCATTGAGAATATTTGACTAGGAGATGAGCATGATTTAACAAAATCTTTAAGCTTAAACTGGCAATACCACATAACAGTGTCTCCAGAGATGCCAGTCCTTTAGCAAGAAGTGCAATAAGATGCATCATAAAATCAGAAATTAGGAATAGAGAAAGGTTCCAAAATAAGATATCATGAAAATATAATAAAAATTTTTTCAACTTATTGGAAATGGAGAGCACAGGAAAATAAAGAGTAAAAAATAATTGAAAATTTGAGCCTGGAGATTCAAGAAACCATGCAATCATCACAGGACTAAGTGAAGAGGATTGGCCATGAAGAAAATTGAGTATAAAGTGTTGGTGAATGAATACCACACTGGAATTCCAGGAAGAGGCAGAATCTGGACACAGAGTTAAAGGACACATGTCCCATGAAATTGTACGTGGTAGCTCATGGCCAGAGAGGAACGAGAGAAATGAACAAGAGGATAAATCTACAATTTATCATCTCTAACTTAGAGATAGGGAAAAGACGAGGTCCTCAGTAACTGAGTCAGAGGGCTATATGTTTAGTTTTCATAATTTACTGATCTCATTCAATTAGAATCTGCCTAGATCATTTTAAAAGGTTAGGACATGACGATGCATTCACACTGGCAATTTTCTTCTGTGTAGGCTATTGATTCTAGGAATTGGATTTATTCCTAATCTGTTGGACTACATCATCTCGAAAATATATGTTGGCAGTTACACATGGGAACTTTCTCCCCATTTATACTTCCTTGCTCCTGGACAACCACCACATGATCCTCTCACTCAATTATTAATCATCAATAATACAGGTAATAATGTGGTGAATGCTTCGTCTCCAATGCATTCACTAAGAGCATTACATAGACAACATAAACATGAGAGAAAAAAAATGAGCTTTTTACTTCTTCAGCATGTGTTCAAAACAATTTATGAGGCTTGGGGATGATGAATATACAAGCCCAAAATAGAGCAGGAATTAAGAAAGTATTTGTAAAGGAAAAATAAATGATCCGATGACATTTTGCAAAATAAAAAAGTTTATACCCAAAAATACATTTTAATAACTTGAGACATAATTCACATGCCATATTTATTCATTTAAAATGTGCAGTTTGATGTTTGTTAATGTATTCACAGAATCATATAATCTTTGGTACAATTCTTTTTAGAATATTGTCATTTCAAAAAGAAATCTCATGTCATTAGTAATCATTTCCATTCACTATGCCCCCAGCTCTGATCAATCACAAATTTATTTTCTATTTCTATGGATTTGCTACTCTAGACATTTAATAGGAGTAGGTCCATAAACTATATGTATGATCTTTTTTGACTGGCTTTTTTCACTTAACATGATGTTTTCAAGGTTCATCTATGTTATGTCAATATTTCATTTCTTAAATTGTTGAATAATGTTCTATTGAATGGATAGACCACATTTTTGTTATTCATCAGAGGGCTGATATTTTGGTTGTTTTTTCAATAATTGGCAATTATGAGTAATACTGTTATAAATATCCAAGTACTAGCTTTTAAGTGAATGTGGTTTTATTCATTTCTTTGGGATATAAACCTAGGAATAGAATTGTGTTATATAGTGACTATGTTTAATCTTTTGAGGAACTGTCAAACCATTTTTAAAAGTGACTGCATCAATTTACATTTGCACTAGCATTTTGTGAGGATTCCAATTTCTACACACAAAAAACCCAAATTATTAAAAAATAAAATAAAATGCTTCCCAATTGTAGAGCTGAAGTGCTATCTAATGTTCCTAAGTAAAGAATGCTGTGATGTACCTTACAAAGAAAATGTTTGTGTTAGATTAACTTTGTTCAGGCATGCATTATAGTGCTGTTGGCTGGGAGATCAAGGTTAATGAATCAACAATGAATATACAGAAGCATACATAAAATAAAACAATGCACTGATTGGTTAATGACCAGAGGCTTACAGAGACCAAAACCTGCGTTTCCCCTATAAGCACTGATCCAGTATTCACTAATTCAGTATGTAGGATAACTTTCTTGTGACTTTATAGAAGTAAGTACATAACTACTGTGAATAATAAGAATCAACTGTAAATGTCTTGCAAATATCTTATTTCATCCTGTAGATTATCTTTTCACTTTGTTATTGGTATCCTTTGAGGCAAAAATGTTTTAGTTTTTATGAAGCTCAACTTATTTTTTCCCTTGCCTGTGCTTTGATGATACATTTAAGTAGGCTTTGCCTAATGCAAGATCATAAACATTTACTCCTGTATTTTCTTCTAAGGCTTTTATACTTTTAGTTCTTACATTTGGGTCTGTGATGCATTTTGAGTTCATTTTTGTGTGTGGTGTGAGGAAGGGATGCAACTTCAATAGATTTCCAGTTATCTTCCTGGGAGGGTCAGGCCACCAAACTTTCCCATTCCCTTCAGCTTCATGTTGCAGAAGCTTGAGACCACCAGAAATGGGGGGGCTGAGAGATCTTGAGTTCTCTTCTTACCCATAAGGTAGAAGCTCTAATTTACGGACAAGTGGTTCTCAATCATCCTCATCACAGTTCCTCCCTGGAAGACACTATAGACTGGGTTTGAGGAGGTAGAATCCCCTGAACCCTTCTCTAACCCATTCAGAGGGGAGCTTTTGTTATGCTGATCAAGAAAGAGTTGTGAAGGTATAGGTCTTTGTCACAGTTTCTTAGTGTTCTTACACAGATTTAGTAGATTTTTCTTAAATAAATTTCTCTTTTCATTTTCTGTATATCTTTAAGATAATAAAAAATTTCATCTTGTTGGGGTTTTTTAGTAATTTTTACAAGTTATGGTTGTTTTTCTGGGGAGAAGGTTTATGGAGCTCTTTATATAGCCATTCAACAAGTTGTCTTCCTTTATCAAGAAACATTTTGAAAATCAATAATCTAGTGGTATTGAAGTGAGACTTAGCCAATTTGGTGATTAATTAGTAGAGATTACCTATGTCATTAAAACCATATTGGTATAGCTACTCATTGAAGTCTTCTTGGAAAAAAATCAATTCCATATGCACCATATAGCAGTGATCATAGTGAATAAATATATTATAAAGTAAAATCCATAGAAGTGAGTAGATTTTTAAATTCACAGTAGCAGGCATGTTATTATGTGGGAAAATATCCTCACAGTCCATATTACAGTAAATATTACATAAAATCATTAATTTTCATTTCACTACACAAGTGGACATTGATTTTTTTAGTTTTGAGATACCTAATACATTAAACTACAATTTAGGGGCAAGCATTGATGACTTTATACATTCCGTGGAGCTTCAGAACATAGCTTTGGAAGTGGATGCATCTGGAAATAGAAATGGCATAGACGATCCATCTTATAATGGAGCCATTATAGTGTCTGGTCACGACAAGGTATGCTGGTCTCCATTTAAGAAATTATCCTACAGGTGTGCAAAGCTAATAAACTATCAATATACTCTGGCCTTCAATTTAGGAAACAGAATGAAAAACAAATACAGGAATACTGCTTTCATTACTTAGTTAATTGTAGTCATTAGTATGATAAATAATTCATATATCAATCATTGTCTACCAACACAGACTGTGTGCATTAGCAAAATAAATACTACATAATACCCACTGTCAAGAACATACTTAAGTCCAAAAAATATCTATTTCCTCTCAAGGAAACTTCTGTTTTATTCTTAAACAATAATAATATTTGATTCTAGCCGTAAGCCAGACACCTGGTGTCCTGCAAGCCAGATACCACCTATATACATGTTTCGGCTTATTTAACACAATGTTTGTTTTTGTTCAGATTATTTAACACTGTTTTTAAAACATGGTTTTTAATTAAAGTATTGAATTTTTATTTCTTTAGGGAAAAAATGAAGATCTCTGAGAATTTATAACCTTGCGTTTTTTATTTTAGAATTACACATTTTCATTAGCATGCAATACCAAGAGACTGAATTGCTTCCCAGTTCTTATGGATATTGTTAGTAATGGGCTGCTTAGAATGGTTAAACCATCAGCACGTATCCAAACTGGAAAAAGTACGTCTTCGCAGGTAAGTATGTACTCTATGACTCTCCTCCATCAGGCATCTCCTGGGTGGCTGGGATTTTATTCTTATTGAGTAAACATCTGCAGGGCAAATTAGCGTTTGGATTCACGCAAGTTCTGTGGCTTCAGGAAATCAATGTAATTTTTCAGAACTTCGACTTTTTTTAGAACTAACAAACTATATTTTCAAAGAGAACATGAAGAAATGAAAGTGAAATCGTGCAGTCCTGTGACTAGCACTTTCCTTATCCATACATGTGGGTTTCAAGCCAAAAATCAAACTTCAAAACTGGATTATATAGTCAAGAGTTTGATAACAAAAGGGAAGGCAGGGTTATACATAGTCTGTTTAATATTTTTTAAATGATTTTCAAATTTGTTCATGCAACTCATTATATTCTTTGTCTTTTCAAAAGGTACTGGATAATCCATTTGGATTCATAATGCCTTCCTTGCTCTGCCTGTTTTTGTCATCCAGTTGTGCTCCTTACATTGCCATGAGCAGCATCGATGATTATAAGGTAACAATGAGTAACTGAAACTTTCCTTACTTGTTGAAGGTAATATAATTACAGGATTTTTCACATGATTTATACACGTTTACTTGAGCCACCAATTCAGACAAAAATCCTAAGCTGTAACAATAAAAGGAAGTTTTATAAGTGGAAATATAAATGTATAGATAGAGTCTACAGAATGATTCTAAAATTTATATGAGTATGCAAATAACTGAAAATAAAATAACTTTGAAAAAGAAAAACAAAATTGGAAGATTTATGCTTCTGACTGCAAGGCTTACTACAGTGATAGTAAATAAAAATCTGTTGTATTAAGTAAGGATAATCATATAAATATATGACATGAATAGACATTTCAGATATAAACCCACACATATGTCATCAATTGATTTTCAATAAAACTGCCAGGGAATTCAAATGGGGTAAGGTTAGTCTTTTCAGAAAACTGTATGGAAAGAACTTGATACTGTTATAAAAAACATGTTCTCGACACTCAATTCTTACCATACACAAAATTATTTTGAAATGAATCATAGACCTTCTGGTAGGCAAATATTTCTTAGTTGGGACAGAGGAAGCATAGACCATACAAAAAAAATGTTATCTTGACCTTCATCAAAGTTCAAACCTTTTCTTCTTTGTAAATCACCAAGAAGCAAATAAAAAGCTGTGGGCTGGGAGAGAAATATTCACAATGCACATATATAACAAAAGATTTGTGTCAGCAATATAAAGAGTTCTTACACCCCAGTAATAGAAGATAACCTAATTTCAAAGATGGGCACAATGTTAAAACAGATACCTTACCAAAGAAGATATGTAGATGGAAAATGCTTCCATTAAAAGATGGGTAATATCATGTGTAACCCAGAAAATAACCCCAATGAGATTTCTTTACACACCAAATAAAATGAATACATGTTAAAATGACTGACAATACAGAGTTTGTGAGGGTGTGGAGAAACTGGGATTCTCTTGCATAATCCACATTTTCTTAAACCTCAAGTTGAAATAGCATCTGTATTTTTGCTGTCTCCCGCTCAGAACAAAGTGTGGTCCCAGCTTCGGATCTCCGGGCTCTTCCCTTCCGCTTACTGGTTTGGGCAGGCGTTGGTGGACGTCCCACTATACTGGCTGATGTTCCTTCTAATGTATTTGCTGGATATCATTTTAAGCCCCAGATATTCTATATTTACATTTTTAGATCCAGCTATGCATGTAAGTTACAACATTCATCGAACAAATATCATTGTATGACATGGTTAGAAACTTTGAAGATGCAAACTGTTTTCATTGATATTCACATGGTCATAAGTTATTAATAACTATAAGACCTGGTGCTGTGCTGATGTTTTGAATCTTAAATGTTTTCCGAGATTGCATTTGTCTTTAAGTAAAATGTAACATCCTGTTTATTTCAGATCCCATGTGTTATTGGTGCTGCCACATCCCTTATTTTCTTTACGTATGTAATTTCGTTCATTTTTCGCAAGGGGAGAAAAAATAGTGGCATTTGGTCTTTGGTCTACTTTGTTGTAAGTATGTTTCTTTTGAACACGTATTTTATACATGTAATGTACGATTCTGAGACAGTAGTTTAAATTTGCCCTTGGTAAAATACATTAAGATGAGAGTCTAACATATTTAAAGTTTCCCTGCCTTAGATATGGATCCTCTTCAAAATCTGCCTCTTTCCCCCTCCCTATTTCTACCCGGTCTTTCTTGAAAAGTGGCTACATTTTTTCTCAACATAAAATATTTAACAGAAGGAAACCTGGAAACCATCTGTATTTTCTTTTTACTGAAAAAGAAATAACCCCAAAGATCTCCGTGACATTATGCAAATACTGTAACCAGCTTAGTTAAAACTAGAAGCAACTTCTCCAACTCTCTACTAAGAATTAATTCCATAAAGTGACACTTAATTTATCTAAATTAGGAGGAAAATATATGTAATCTGTAAGCATCTATTCTAATTTCCTGTCGTCAACAGTTTTAACACTGAAAGAGTGCTCAAAGGGTAAACAGATGAGTAAACAGCCAATTCCTAAAACAGTGATAAGGTAAAGTTACCAAGATACCATCCATCTTTAAAAGTCTAACACAACCGCCCTATCTGGTTTGGCTCAGTGAATAGAGCGTCGGCCTGCAGACTGAAGGGTCCTGGGTTCCATTCTGGTCAAGGGCACATGCCCAGGTTATGGGCTTGATCCTCAGTAGGGGGTGTGCAGGAAGCAGCCAATCAATGATTCTCTCTCATCGTTGATGTTTCTCTCTCTCTCTCTCCCTGTCCCTTTCTCTCTGAAATCAATATATATATAATCTAACACAACTGCTGAGTAATAAGGTCTATGAAAACCAGAAAAGGGAGACAGTCATTCATAAAAATGAGAACAGAGATTTCCTTCAGGAAGTGAAACCTGAGGAAGAGTAAGATTTCAACATTTGGAGAAGAATGATGATGCAAATCGAAAAGAGTGGAGGAACAGAAACCCAAAGGGCAGAGTGTCCAGACTAGAATAAGTCCTAACTAATGGTAATAATCTGACATGAATATGGGTAGAAAACTGGCTACAGCCTGAGCATGGTCCTAGTCATGGTGAACATAATGGTTGGAATCATGACTGGCCTTAAATGATTGGCTCAAGAATTTATTCTACAGCCCTAGCCAGGTAGCTCTGTTGGTTAGAGCATCATCCAATATGCCCAGGTTGTGAGTTTGATACCCAGTCAGGACACATACAAAAATCAACCAATGAATGGGTGGAACAACAAATTGATGTTTCCCTCTCTCACTCACTCTCATGGAAGCTAATAATTCAGAAAAGAAATATGACCACAGACACACTTTTAGGAAGAATATTCTGGAAGCCATAGAAGTGATGGTTTGTAACAGAGAGAAATTAGAAGTACAGAAACTTTTAGGAAGGCATTACAGTAGTTTAGAAGAAAAAGTCTGAGAGGGTCAGATGTACTTATAACTTTCTCTTCTCCTGAATGTTGTATTTTACTACTTGTACTAAGCCACTCCAGGTTTTTAAATGCTTATATTTATCCATTGGTATAGTTAACAAGTCTCCTTTCATTGTTGCTTTATTCCAATTAGCTGTTTTTTAAAAAATATTTATTTTTATTGATTTCAGAGAGGAAGGGAGAGGAGAGAGAGATATAGAAACATCAATGATGAGAGAGAACCATTGAGTGCCCAAGAGTGCCTCCTGCACACCCCATACTGGGGATCATGCCAGCAACCTAGACATGTGCCCAGAATGGGAATTGAACCGTGACCTCCTGGTTCATAGGTCAGATGATCAATCACTGAGCCACACTGGCTGGGGATTCCTATTAGATATCAATTTCAATTTTTACCTATAATTATTGCTTATATATCATTCTGAATTTTATCTCCCAAAATAATATACAATACCTTTTTTCATTTTCTATATGTAAAATGCTCTCCATATTAGATCCTAGATTTATCCAGTAAGGTCTCATTCATGATCCTCTGGGCGAAGGAATGTAGCTAAGTCAGCAAGAGAAAATATCAATGCAGATCTGCTGATTTCAGCTTGGTTTTCGGGGTTGGAGTGGAAGTTTGGAATATCTCCAAGATGAGGCATCTTAATTTGGAGCATCTATTGATGTTCAGAGTGGTTAATATTGCTTTGTTTTCCTTTTTAGATCACCCTTTTCTGTGTGGCCATAATTATGGTGGGATTCCCTGGATATAGTTTACTGTTTTTCATCAACTTTTTAGTACCACACACCACAATAGTTGGCTGTATGCTCTTATCTTTTTATGTAAGTAATGCCACCATCTGCTCCAGTGTCCTGGAACTCACAACCAATGGTGAAAGCTTTGCTTAGGGCTGGGACTCTGCAACATGTTCAGTATGTGTGACATTTGAAGATTTCTACTTCATGCTTCCAGCTGAATCTCTCTCCAGATAGGACAATATGCTCCAACTGAACTGTAATAGAATAGTTGACCCTAGTTGATGGGTGGGGAGGAAGAATAATGGGTGGGGAGAAATAAAGCAGCCTTTATACTCAATCTGGGCTCTATAGACTCTTGGGCATGCTCAGCTCTAGAAGGAGGCAAATGAAATGTCTCTAATCTTAGGGATTTCAGGATTCTAGAGAAGCTCTCAATCCTTTTTTTTCTAGCTGACTGATACCTATACTTCTACCTATGGAAGGAAGGTACAGTATGTGAGTTAAGAGATATCCATGGGGAAGAGAAAGGAAAGAAAGGAGACTTATGAAAGGGGCAGTGAGCACCAGCGGGTGTGTGAAGGACTGTGTGATAAAGGTTAAATCTTGCCTCTCTCTCAATGTTTGGGGAGGCTAGCACAACAGACCCCAAGATTCTCTCACCAGGTGATGAATAATTGCTAAATCCTATTGCTTCAAATAAAAGCACAATGGCTCATAAACCTTGGGAGGAAGGAAGACAGCTCCTCACTACACATTGTGGAATGGACCCTTAGCCAATACTCTTCAGGGGGTATGCCAGGAGGGTTGTTCAAATGGGCCAATTCACTTTATATAGCAAAAACTCAGGAAACGAAAATTTTCATGTTTAACCATTGTCTTTGTTTTTGCAGTTTTTCATGTTTTCTGAAAATGATGAAGAGCCCCTTGTGATATTCCTAATTGTAAGAACACATTCTTCTTTAAAATTTATCATGTATTTTACTAACTAAACTATTTTAATCCTGTAAACATAGCAGAACTTTTTATTAGTGTGGATATATAGGTATTTGTAGCCCATAGAGATAAAATATTTGTAAAAACAGAATATATTTTATAAAAATCAACTAACCAGATACTATGCTTCCCAATTTTTAAGGAAACTGTATAACTATTAGAGGAAATTATTTAAAGTAATGGTATCACACAATTATATTTGTTACCTATGTTTCTGTAAAAAAGATTAAGAGTAAATTTACTAGTTTCACAGTTTGACAAATAGATTATTGGAAATTGGTAATGTTTTTGCCAAATGCATCTTTATAGAAGTCCAATTATTCCTAACTCACTTTTCATGTGAAATGATTTTCTTTTAGTGTTTCTAGTTATGCATCTCTTTATTCCTAGACTTTCCTTCAACTTATCGTCTTGATTTTTATTCTTCGATGTCTGGAATGGAAGTTTGGAAAGATATCAATGAGAAAGGATCCTTTATTTCGGTCTGGAGAAATGAAATTTGATTCTTTTATTTCAGTGATCACTGTTTTAAAATATTTGATGCATAAATGAATTTATTAACAAAGAAGTGCTAAGAACTAGAATGGGCTGGGGTAGGAACCGTGTGTCAATATAAATAATAGAGATATAGGGACCTAAATCAAAGATTATAAATAGTGGAGCAAACAGACCTAAAACATTGAATATTAAAGACTCTGTCTGACACTGTGCAGTGGAACACTAGGGAAAGTTATCTGGCTCATTCAGTTTAAATAGCACTTAATGTGAATAGATTGACAGTGACGACGGAATGCTGTCGGTCCAGAATGGAAGAATAGAATGATCAATAGGTCAAAGACAGCAATAACTGCTCTTTTCCTGTGGTAGTGAGAAGTCCAACTGGTGGACCATAGACTGGTTCAGTTATTCATGGCACTTCAAAGCTGAGACTGTTCCCATCATTCAATGATGGAACCATAAGCATCTTATTCCCCATCAGTTTCATTGATAACTCTTACAGATAGTTGCATGGGAGACTTCCAAGATACAAGAAGACTTTTAAGAAGTCTTCTAAGATCAGTATGGGAGATTTAGATTGAAGGAAGAGAGACTAGAAGGCAGAGAGTATGAGGGACAGAGTTAGAATGGAGGAAAATTAGTGAATCTGACACATATTCCAAAGAAATGCCTAACCTTAATAGGAGATCAAGCATGCTATTTGCATTTGGATGTGAGGTGGAGATTTCACTGGATTGAAGAGAGATTAATCACCCAGTCTACTCAAGTATAAGATTTAAAGAATGCAGTGTTTTTGATACGAGGATAAAAAACCAAAATCAATTATTAATGGATGGTTTGCAGAATTTCTCCAAGAAGCAGTGATGTACACCAAAATCCAGAGGAGCCCGAGAGGGAGGATGAAGATGTTGAGATGGAAAGAGTGAGAACAGCAAATGCCTTGAATTCCACAAACTTTGATGAGGTAAAAACACACAAAGTAGTTATTTCAACAACTAAAACAAATGAATAAAATCAGAAAGCATCTAATTCTCAAATGATTTTACATTTCTTTAATTCATACAAATGAGGATCATAACTTTATTTTAGCAGGTAGTCATTATTTTTACATCTAAATGAGCACAGATTAAAAAGTCATTTTAACTCACTTTGTCTTTCATAGAAAATAAATTTTAAAAATGGAGTGAAATTGAAATTTCTGAAGCCAAGAAAGAATTTGTGAATTTTAGAAACTGAGCAGAGTGACCCCAATCACTGCTTCTTGGAGAAAGGACACTCTACAAAATGCAGGGCAAAGTCAAGTCCACAGTGTGTTGTTTGGCCTTGGAGGGTGATTTGGTGCTTCTCCAAGTCTCTTTGCTTCTGTTCTGAGAGAAGGGCTGGCTGCATAAAATAATGTGTGCCTGCGTGAGTGCCCTTGTAGGAGAGGGAATCATAAGTGCTAAGATAGGAGAATGGCCCATAAACCTGTCGTCTAGTAGGAAGTCTTCTTGGAGGCATGGCTTGTGCAATCAGGGGCCAGCCCCCTGGGGGGATAGAACTTGTTCAAGGTCAATGGAGATTCTTAAGGTCTGACCTGATATACTTGTCATTTACAGAAACCAGCCATTATTGCCAGCTGTCTACGCAAGGAGTACACAGTGAAGAGGAAACACTGCTTTTCCAAGAAGAAGAAGAAAATCGCCACAAGGAATGTCTCTTTCTGCGTCAGAAAAGGTTGGACACGGAGGCTCTCCCAATGCTGGCTCGGAGCCCTCCTTCGCGCTTTGTGGTTCCTGATGAGAATCATTCTGTGACCACCTCTTGGTTTGCACACAGACCCATCAGCGGGGTGACCTTGACAGCTCCTTTTACATGGCTCATTCCTAGAGAAATTAACTAAGTCATGCCCATGGATAAGGACTTGGTCACATGGACATGGAAACCATAAGCACTCTATTGAAATAAACCATTGAAACCCCAAAATGTGCATTTCTCTGTAATAAACACGATTAATTTCCTAACGTTCATTATTTTTCACAAGAAAACAAAAAGAATGTGCCAGCATGTTCTGAAGGCTTGACCGGCAGATGGCACTTGACTTCATTTTGTGACATTATTGCACAGTTCTTAGGATCACAGGAGATGTGTGGTCTCATACACCTAGCTTCCAAGAGTGACTTTGTCACTTCCCATTAGTGTGACTTTGGACAACTAACCTCATCCCTAAGAGCTTTTGTTCCAAAATATGTAAGAAAGGGTTATGATTACCTCTGGGGCAGAGGGAGGGTATGACAATTAAAAGAGATACTACCTACCAATCACATAGAACACTTGTCACAGTGAGACTTCAGACTATGTTTTATTTTTATTATTAAAGTCAATTTGTATTAAATGTGACCTTTTTTTTTCCAGGTGAGGTTTTAGGATTACTAGGACACAATGGAGCTGGTAAAAGTACATCCATTAAAGTGATAATTGGAGACACCAAACTAACTGCTGGACAGGTAGGTGAATCACGTGGAAACTACATTACCTAGTGGTGCTCAAGATAAATTTTATAAGATGTCAAAATGTTATACCCAGCAAAATCTCACTTATTCATTAGATGAATGAAGTGATTAATGTGGCTGAATACCCATTACAAATTATCACATTAACACACAACAAAATTAATCACTGAAAGGGAATAATTATTCATGCCTGTAAAGGCAATTCGTGGAAATGGCCAATCTCAGAATTTATACAAATTCTATTTATACTACCATAAAACACTTTGATTTGCACTTTCAATGAGCACTGTCCTATTATGAATTAAAATGTGTGTGTGTGTGTTTTTAAATAACAACTTTATTTAGCGGTCATTGTTCTTTACAAGTGCTTACATTGTCCTTTAAAAGTGCTTAGTTACTGTAACATATATTTTGGTAGAAATACACTATATTGGGGGAGTGATTTCAAGGAATGAATTATCCATCCAATTCAACTGCATAGAAGGCCAGGCAAACAGAAAAAGAGGTGAATTTATCAAAGAAACAACATGAGTTACAGAGAAAACTAAAATTCTATGTCAGGAGATAGGTAACCTTAAGAGCTCCTTTGAAAAGTATGTCAGGGGTGGGGGGAGTGGAGAACAGAGTCCTAAGGCAGAGGTCTGTGTACCTCCACCATGGGAAAGGGTCTGGTGGTCACACCCACCAAGGGGAAGACCACCAAGAACGTGATTGGCAGGTGTCCCAGGAAAGAGGAAGGAGGAAACATATTCACAGCCGCTCTGAAGCTGAGGTGAGAGCAGGTGTTCGTGAAGGGTGCCTCTCAGTGATGTTGGTGGCTCAGTTGAGCCTATCGGGAGTGCTTAGTTCAGTGGAGAGCACTCCCTTGACATAAAATCGATATTTTATTTCTCCTTAAGCGGGGGCAAAAAAAGAGGTAACCATTCATTGAGATCTTGGAATGAAATATTTCTAAAGGTTACCTGAGATCTGAATTATAAACCCAACAACCATTTGGGTGTCATGAAACCAGCTTGAATCAGATCAGTCAGTGAGATCTTTATAAAAGGTCATTGTCCTGCCGAAATACATTCAGTGACCTCTGAAATAAACCATTGAAATACATTCAGTGACCTCTCACTGCACTGTGGCTGGAAGGAAACCTCTCCTTGCTGATTCCCACGACCCTCCTATCCCATCTCTCTCTTCTCCCCTGGACCACTCTGCTCCAGATCCCCTACTTTAGCCTGGGGTCTGAGAGCACATTGAACACCATCCCTCCACAGGGCTTTGCTCTACCCCAAACTCCTGGCCTTTTCCAGGGCAGGCGCCCTGTCACCCTCCTGCTGCAATGGTCCCTCAGCAGGCAGGCTTTCTCGGATCGCCCTACCTAAAGTCACTTGCCCAGAATATCTGTTTGTTGCCAGGTATTTACACTCTGACAACCTTCTTCCAGTACAAAATGGTTGCAGGTGATTCAAGTCAATGAGATCGGAGAATTTCTCTGGTTTTTCTAGGTTTGTAAGGAGAAAGATGTCATGGGAACACAGAGGAGCAAGGCAGGCCATAGGGTCTGAGAGGGAAGTTTTCTCTGCAGGTGCTACTAAAAGGCAGCAGCGAAGGGGACCCTCTGGGGTTCCTGGGGTACTGTCCTCAGGAGAAGGGGCTGTGGCCCAACCTGACAATGAGGGAGCACCTGGACGTGTTCGCTGCGGTGAAAGGGCTGAGGAAAGCAGATGCCACGGTCACCATCACACGGTACAAGGGGGGAAGGGGCGGGGGGGCGGGGGACACA